ATTTTGTTATCAAGCATCTTGCAGAGCCAAATATGGCTTAACAAGATCTGCCCACACACAGATTTCCTCAGTAGATGCCATAGCAAAGCCATCATTCCTCAGTTCACAAAGTAAAGCTGAGATCTGAGTCAGCAAAAAGAACCAGCACAACCTATCTACCAAGATTACAAAAATCCATTTCATTCTCCCATTGCACACACACTTGCACCTTTTTTAGAGTTTTGAGACTCAAGGCTTGGACACAACACCAAACTGTAAGGCTACAGAGGACTTGCACAGAAGAACAGACAACCTGAGTCCCCTTACCTACTGCCAGCTGGAGAGTCACCACAGATAGGTAATGCAAATCTGCCAGCACAGAGTAACTACAGCGATGCTATGGGCTTGCACAACCAAGTCCTTGTTAGGCACATTCAGTGGAAGCAAGAGTAGCAGCAGAAAAGCCTACTAGACTTTGATCACAGAGACAGCAACTCACAGGTAGACACAGAAGTGCAAGAGGTTCATCTCCTACAGAAGCAAGGGGGTTAGCCTGCATCCAAGAAGGGGTTGGATAGTGGGACAGTTAAAATGGCACTCCTGCAGCTGGGAAGGGTAGGAAAGCCACCACAGTGCCTAATACCCAGCATTCACTGCCCAGTGTAAAAGCTCACAGTGATTTCTTCCTATGTTAAAAGAGCTGAATAAAACAAGCTGCAGACTATCTGTCAATGCTTGTGAAAGGTATATGACATTAAAAACAAAAATCCAGGCTTCCACAGCTCATCTGTTAAGAGAAAACATGGGTAAGATGGAAATTTCTTTCAAATAAGAATACTACAGGTAAATTAACACCTTCAGGGCATTTTAAGGAGCATACAATACCATGACAAAACCACATCATTGAAATCTGGAGGATTTAATATTTGTCAAAGGCAAACAAAAACCCCCTTCTTGAAGAAGAGGGATACTAAAAAGGAACGCACCACCCCTGCAAGAACACAGCATACATACATCGTATACATAATCCCAAATATCAGCATGCATTAAATTAACTATAGAAACTTTATGCATCGCCCCTCCTGTCTAGAAGAAGCTACAGAACAAGAAAAGCCATTAACATTTTAATGAATCTCAGATGGCAGGGCCCTAAGCTTTAAGAATTTGGCCTCCAGGGCTTGTGGAAGAAGAAAAGCGAGGATGGAGTCACTGAAAGAAACCTCTGGGTGATGAGCAGCATGGGAAGCAGCCTGCTACAACTCACAGGGATCTGAAACACACTGCATGCACTTTGGGAGAGAGGGAAGCTTAATGAAGCGCCAGCTGAGGCAAGAAGGAAAAACTGCAGAAATTCAAGGACATCTTTCTACCTTTGGAGATTGGACCTTCTGAATCCCAGGGTCTTTCAGGACTTGACCGAGAGAGTGTGCAAGTGTTGTGGAGAAACAAATAGCACACAGGCACTTCTGACTCTGCTTAAAGCAGAATCTTTCCCCCTATCATGGAGAGCAAAGGCTTGCACTGAAGCTCAATGCAAAGTACTGGTGCCCTTCAGGGGGACAAATGCTTTGCAGGGACATCAAGCAAGGATGCTTCATTGACCCAGTGTCTTCACAAAATTCCACTGTGACATGAGAATCCAGAAAAAGTTTTACTAAGCTTGAGGAGTCTGAGGGAACCAGCAGTAGTTTCAGACATGCAGCAGTAAAGCATCTATTTCAGAAGATTTCTCGGGGAATACTCTGAGTCTTAGACATGCTTTGCCAGCAACTCAGAAGCTCAGGCATCTGCTATTGAAATCCTACAAGTCAGTTTGTTTTAGCCTTAGAACTAGTACATCAGCTTTTTGAACAACTTAATACCAAGAGGCAGAGATAACCTAGATTGCCAAATAACCTTCAGAGTGTTCACTATCACTATGCTGTTTCCTTAGCACAGCTTCCCTGCCCTCATATTCCAATCATTGATTCATCCATTCAACCTTTGCTCAAATAACAGCCTCGATCAGACTAGAAAAGCACGGTGGGGATGCTTCCTAGGAAAATCTGCATGAACACGTGGCCTTGCAGAGGAATAAAAAACAGCACCAACATGCAAATAATCCAGGAAAATTTAAGACTATACAGCTCCTAGACTGCCCAAAATCTTTTTCCTTCTGCTTCTCTGAGGCTATCCTTACCCTCCCCAGAGACTACTCTCACGGTCACCCAAGATCACAGGGAGCATCAAGTTTACATCAGCTGAAGTTTTTTTAGTTTTATTTCTTAGAAGGATTTTTGTAGTTCTAGATTCACTTATTAACCAAAAAACTGCTAAAGGAATTCATTATATAGCACATTTTAACATACACTAGCATACCTTGGATATTTTAAAACACCTGAGAATTTAAGAAAGACACATTTAAGAGTTTCCTTGTTGACCCTTCCTGAGTGCCTACAAACTAGGACTACTTAGGTGGCGAATAACACTGCATGGTACAGGCACCCAGAGCTACCTACAAAGAGTTGGAGGGATCCTGCCTGAAGGGATTTATCCCACCTCTGGATGCAACACCTCACCACTCACACAAAACATAGCTGGCCACTGCAGTCTGGAAGCACATCCAAGTCCAGCCATAAGATACACTCACCATGTCACAAGGCTTCAAAGATCATACACTGGCCAAAGGATTAGAAAGTAGGAGAAAAGAAAATATTATCATTTTATTATGAGGGAAATGGAAGTACTCTCTTTATTCAAAACCTTTTCTTACTCCTGATGAGAAGTTAAAATAGAAAAAGCTATTCCTGTACATAGAACATTAAATGAATTTATATTTGTGCTTTTAAGATCTTAAGGAAACAGAATGGTCAGAACTGAAAGCAATTAGTGCACTGAACCAGACAGTTAGAACAACAAAAAACACAGAACAATGATCTCTTATTTCCCAAGTTCAGATGTCACCATCACACTTTCCTATTCATGCAGCATACTGCATTTTGAAAAGTAGGGCTGTTTTTCTCTGCCTGAAAGGAATACAAAGAGTTCCTATTTTTTTTCCTAAGTACTCTTGGGTAGTTAGAAAACAGGACAAACCTGTGGCAGGCTAAGAATCTGACATACTTAAAGGTGGGTTCAAAATACAAAGCTAAGAAATTAAAATACTGTAAATCCCAAAAACCTTATGTGACATTTCCCCTACAGCATCCCAGATGGTGTGTGTTTTGCCTTCTAATTTGGAGAACTGTGAGACAACCATGAAATGACCAAAGCAGCAAAAAGCAGTATTAGTTATCTTCTGCCACAGCCTCCCAGCACCACATCACACGGTGCATTTTCCATTTGAAGAGTCAAGTCATGCAATAACTGTGATATGATTAAGCAGAGGGAAGCAGTATCAGTCACCTTCTGCAATGAACGACAGAGAAGACAAAGTAATGCAATAAAATGGGCAATTAACACTGAACCTTGGATACAGGAAAGCAACTGCTCTCTGCCACCTGCCTTAGTCCAACCCATCACTGGAGAAAATACTTCCCTGTGCAGTAACTTCTAATGACACACATGCATCTACCCAACCATAAATGTTCACACCATCTGTTCGCATTACAGTTGAGTTCTCAAGCCAACTTCCAAGTCAGGCTGACAAGAGTTCACATGGCTCTGATCCACCAGCTCTTTTGCAGCTAGTTATTCATTTGTGATGAGAATTACTAAACCAACAGAGGGTTTCTTTTTGTATAAGGTCTGTCACAGACAGCACCCAACTCAGCCAAACTCAGTAGCCAAAATACTGCATCAATTAATGCTCATGTATTTCTAAAATGTTATAACTAATCTGTTTCTTCTGTCTCTCAGATGTGGGGGTTTTTCCCAGTTTTCTTCTCTTAAAAGGTTTTGCAAGTGTGCATAAAATTATATGGTTCACAGAAATTTTTCGGCAATTGCCTGGAGACTCATTACGCTTCATCAATTATATTATCAGATAAAGATGGAATTAAAAGCACCAAACAAATAAAGGAAATATGCTATAGGTCACTGAATATTCTTCAGTCACAAAGGGTCAATGTGAAGTTAAACTGTAAAGGAAAAAAGGCTCCCGTTACGGTATTTATTTTCTTGAATATACAATTACATCCCTCATTTATTTACAAGGTTACGCAACCGTGATTGCTCCCACCCCTTCCATCACAGCTCAGAGAGCATTTTGTACATATCCACTGCGTGTAAGGAGGCAAAAATAGCTGACAGTTGCTCTAATTTGGTAACACAGATTCACTGTTTCTAGATCAGTGGGTCATAAGGCTGCTTAAAGGTGACCCACCAGCCCCTGAACTTCTTGTAGAACTGGTAAGTTCACCAGGCCACAGGGAAAAAAAAATGTTTTCACTCCATCACAATGCAGGACAATATAAGCAGCAAACATTACAAGCAAATGATAAACCCATGTGGTTTCCAACAACATGTTTTAAAAGACAGTTTCTCCCAGCATTCTTTTCTGAATTTATCTCTGCAGATGACAAACGGACTGATTCTTCTTCCAGAAGTACAACTAGAAATACTAGCACTCTGCCTCTTGCTAATCCCAAGTAAAAAGGAGATAAGGATAAGGAACTGGACTTCTAACCCATAGGCAGCCTTTTGTTAGGACAGAAAGCAGTTTCATTTTTTTCAACCTCTTTTTTTTCTTTTTGTTTTTTTTTCTAGGCATTTCAGAGAGCTTGTGAAAAGAAATCAACATTATGACACATACACATATAAAACTAGGATGTAAAGCACTTTTTAAATTGGAGAATCAAGCAGGCTCTCAGAAAGGCAGAACTACATTTAAGTGTTATTTTATTACTGTATTTCCACTATCAGCTCTCCTCTGCTCTTTCGCTCCCCCCATCTAGAACCAGTGGCAAATCCACGAATTACATGAAAAAGTGCTCTGCAGGACACTGATAGCAACTTCTGAGTCAGAAAAACCCTATCAACTCAGTTTCCTAGACCATGTCATAGCACAGCATAGAATCAAACAAATTAACGTTGGAGCTTACCATTTCGAGACAAATCAAGTTCCACCAGCTGCATGAAATTTGCTATTTCAGGAGGGAGCCGCTGGATTTCATTATCACTAAGTCCAAGTTTCCGTAACTTCACAAGCTGGAAGAAAGGCTGAAAGAAAGAAAAATCACATATCAGAAAATATTCATATAACTCAGATATAAGCATCATAAATGATGAGGAATAACTGGAAGCCGCTTTCAAAATGTGAGCTAATTAAAGTTGTTGCTTGACACTAGTTATGCACATCCCTTTCAGACCTGTATCAGAATAAACATTTTGTTTTAATTTTTACATGTAAACAGACTATAACCTGTGTTTTACCTAAAATGAAAATCTATGTTAAAAACAAAAATCTGTAAAGCTTGCCATTAAAGATCATTGCAGACAGACACTAGCAAAATCCAGAGTGCCTGCTTCAAAATCATTAATGGGGTGAGGTTACCCAGTAGAGTAATTAAAAGCATCCTAATTATACACCGTGGCTCATTAGGAAGTTAATGCAGAGGGACACTTCTAAAGAACAATCCAGAAAACCGACAAAGAGTAGCTGACAAGGTCTTCTTCACTGGTGAGCACCAAAACCAACTAGGTTACAGAGCCAGCCTCCCTCAGGAAGACTTTCTTTCCAGCCTCATATACACTGCCTGCTGCATGGCCCAGTTTCAGAAGGACTAATGAAAGTTGGGCAGGATACACACAATTTCAGGTCTTTCTTGCTTGAGGAAAAACCCAGCTCAGCCCTGTCTCTACAGTGAGGACACAGGGACAAAATGCAGACAAGATACTAACTTTCCCAGACCCCCAGCTATGGGCTCAGAGGGTCTGGAAGCCCCCAAGACAAAAAAACACCCCAAGAAAACTGGCCAAGCTGAAAGTCAGGTCAAGCCCAAGTACTGGGAGCAGCTGGTGATTGAATCTAGGCATCCCTATGAAAGTTGTGGAGCTCTTATCGCAGCTTTCCTCTCTTCCAGACAGGCCTTTGAACTGGAGTGATTGCAAGGGGTGAGGATTTGTGAAGAATTAAATGGCTTTACATACATGTTATCTTGAACAAAACTGAACAGACTCCTCAAATTTTGAGTGAGTTTTGTGCCCTCTGGAGTGCACAGCGATTTTTACCCAGCAGTCAGAACCCGTGCATCTCACCCACTCGTGGCATGTGTGCATGCCTGTGTGCCAAAGATTTTGCCATGCAGGGTAACTGGAAGATACTAGTAAGTTTGGGCTATCTGCTTGCATTTAATCACCTACAATCCCTTCTTGGAAATTAGCACCTTTTTTTAGCTTTTATTTTATATAAGTGCTGGAGTGTGTGATCTAAATGTCACTCAGTTGTAACTCAGACTGACAGAAAAAGGGGCAGTAAGACAGGCACCTTACTAGGACACAAGGTAAAAGCAGAGTGTCATGAAGGTATTATAATGCAGGTTTTCAATCTTAGTTTGAGTGTCTTGTGATCAAGTTCATAAATCAGGTTTTTAAGTGCATTTTGCACTTCAGCACCAATCTTTCAATATACACTGTGGTTCCCTGTCACGGAAAAATAAAACACAACTGAAACTAATGTGTTTTCCCTCAAAAACATGGCTTCCTTTTAGGGGATAAAAAGGGTAGAGCTTTAGAAAGTTTATAAACACTCAGCAACGAAAGATGCACCAGACCTGAATATGACATTTCAAAGGCATTTTTGAGTCAGAATGGCACTCCATCCCCTCCCCCTATTAAAAGTGTTTGATAACACAGTTGAAACTGTAAGAGGAAGATATAAAAAATGTCTACAATTCTATGTTTTTAGTTCCCAAAACAACATATATTCCAATTAAAATAGCCACAAATGCTTTTTAATCCTTCACTGCCCTCAAAAGATCCCTAGCTGCACTTTCATATCATTACCATTCTTATCTTTAAACAAATGTAGCCCTTTTGATAAATATTTATCAATATGACTAAACCAAGAATCCATCAGAAGCTTAAAAAAGCACTTAAAGACACTTTTGTGAAAACATAGCAGGAGTACACCCCACAGAAGAGATCCAAATCTGTTCTAACACTCCAAAATAAATACTTGCCAAAATGTGTTCCTCAATCCAGTGTGTAGCTGCTTAACTATATGACAGTTATAAATATTGATGTTCTACTACAAATCTTCTCCTAAGCAACAGTTGTCCCTGCCAGAGATATTCAATGGCAAGTGAGTAAAAACAGAAGGAACATGGTTAAAAGACAGAACCGCCATCAAAAGCCTATTAAGAGCTAGACATCCCCAGGAAGGTTTGAGGGCCCTGACAGCACCATGTGTCAATGCTGTATATATTCATTAAATGTGCAGAGCACATTTGCAACAAGCAATATTACACAATATTTAAAAAGGCATTCCTGATTAACTATTTAAAAGAAAAATTAACTGGGAGTTTAATTTCCAGTTTGCATAACAATTTCTAATGAATTACACCATTTCCACGATAAAATCAGAAACTGCAGTTATGTGAATGGCATTTCTTTGAATTCCTCCTTTGTTTTTTCCCTATAAACTACAGGACTCAATCACTCATGCATGTTTAGTGCATCCTACTTGCATTTCAGTAACTACTCTTCCTTTATCTAAAGCACATCATTAGTGCTCTGAAGCACTGCCGGTGAAGCAAGCAACTCCTTTCAGCCATATATGTTCTACCTTTCAAAAAGACCACAGAGAACAAAGAGAATCAAAAGCTTATTGAATAGAGTTCAACAAAGGTAAACATAGATATGTGTGTGTGCATAAATATCTGCACTTTCTTAAATATATGCCCCCCAGAAACACGTTCCTAATTTAATGTATCCGACACAGTTCTGCCTCTATCTGAAAAGCTCTACCACGATCCAAGGTCCAATGGGGTTATTGGCCAGAGCAGCACATCCACCCAGCATGCTCTAATAGCAGGTTTTGATTGCAGACCCAACATCTCAACAAGTATCTCGGCAACACTTTTAATGCCGAGATACTTGTTGAGATGTTGGGTCTGCAATCAAACAGCCAGTGCTTCAATGAGACAAATAATTCCATGAGCATAAGCACTGAAGAAGCCTACAACTTGCTATTTAGTGACAATTTCCAACCCTCAATTGAAGCTTTTCCTGCTATCAAAGAATTTATAGAGCTTTCCATTATATGGATTTTCTAAGAACATACATATTGAACAGATCCCTTCTCTCACTGGAAAATTAACCAAGTCTCTCTCACCCAGACACATAGTTTTAAAAAAACTTCATTCTGATAAAATTGGGTCGATGTCAGCCAACGGAATTAAAAAAAGTAAGAGATAAGTGCATGACTCACTGAGAAGTATAAACAGACAGTGTGATCCCACAGTCCTCATTTTTTAAACCTTTTTTTTTAAGAATACTACAACTGACACTCAATTCTAGAAAAAAAAGTGAAGAGAATTAAGCCAAACTAGGATTGATAAATACTTTCTCCTGTAAAAGTGGCCAAAACAATGTATCTCTCTGTTTCTTTCAATGATTCACTCCTGCAACAAAAAACATTCATGCCTGAGAATCTTCCCTGAGTGCTTCAGCACCTTACCAGATGGAAATAATAAAAATCATAAATGGAAATAGATGATGACAAAAGGCAGTTGAAGTAAAACACAGGGCACGAAGACCTATTTGCAGCTAACGCTGTTTAAGGGGAGGAGCAGTATCTCCCTGCTAGAGCCCTTCCAGTGCTACAAACATATCACACTCCAAGTTCATTTGGCACAGGGAGCATAACTAAATGTTTACTGTGTTAAGCAAAACACTTCCATAAAAAGGTTACTACTATCAGCAAAGAGAATTAAAATTAGAACCCTTATGAAATCTACTGCCTAATTTTCATGATGGGCCAGCATGAGAGCAGAAATCAGAACAAGATGGAAAGGAGGAAGAAAACTGCAAATGAACTTGATTCATGGTTACATTCACACAGGATAGAATGAGGGGGGTTTTTTGCAGGTATTTGAGCTGTTGCTGACTAGATTAAAAATTTGTAAGCACTTGCTCTTATGTCAAGTTTGCCTTAGACACCAATATGGATTTTCCACATATGCATGTTGCCTCAGCTTTTGAGGTTTCGTCAGGCAATTACAGTATTATATTCAAAAAGGAATTAAGTAAGCTATCAAGACACAGTATATTACTAGGTTCCCATTCTTAAATATATCTATATTTATTTCACCCATTTTCCAAACCTACAACTGACCAACTAAAGGTTATCTGTGCTTTAGAATTAAGAAGTGACACAGTAATTTAAATATAGTTTAACTCCCACTTGCATTTCTGTTTCAAATCTTACTTCAGGCTCCATTTTCTTCTCCTACATTGTAAACAAAAATTAATGGGGACACCCTTCACTTTATTCACTTCCAATCATCAGGTGTCCTCCTTCGATCATCGGATAAGGGAAATTACAGTCAATCCTTCCCCCACTCTTTTTATACTGCCTCTTCAGGCAAACACAAGCAGAAGCAGCAATTTGATTATGGTAAGCAAAGCAGTGAACAAGAGATAAAGCATCAAATCCGCGAAAAGCATCAAATCCATGAAATAACCTTGCAAGGGACTGGAGACTTTGCTGAGGAGGTAGAGAGCACTGTCAACCATGTTGCAAGGTTATTTCACGGATTTGATGTTTTATCTCTTTTTCACTGCTTTGCTTAACATAATCAAATTGCTGCTTCTGCAAAGGGCCCCTAGAAGTTAGTGTTTTGCCTGCACCATTGCACAGCTTCAGTGAGAACAGGGGAAGCCCAACCTCTCTTTAGGCGAACATGCTGCTTGGTGGTCAGGACACTGTGAGGAGGATGAGGACTAAATCCCGTAATGAAGCAGCAGCACTGAATTCAAACATTCTGCTTCCTTAGGATGGGTTTAATAACCAGGCTCTGGCACAAGCATACATGCACATTCTCCCTGTCTGTCTGAAGGGCAAAGGCAGAGAGAGAAGGGAGAGCTTTTCCTCATTCCTCCCCACCCCATTTCTGTAGAAGTCATTGATAGAATGGTCTTCGGAAGACCATCAATACGGGTCACTCAGTGCTAAGGATTCCAAGAGGGTAGGATACTCAATGCCCTACACTAACCAA